AAAATTAGAATACATGGGAATGATAAAAGAAATTTAGGTGTTTTGAAGTCTTTAAATTGTTCCAGAAGAGATTAAAAAACATTAACTTAAAGCAGGGTGAAGTGGCATTTGCCTGTATCCCCAGCTACTTGGGAATTCAAGGCAGGAGGATGAGTTGAGTTCAACACCCCTGTGTCAAAAAAAAAAAAAAAAAAAAAAGTTAGGTTTTTATACTTCAAGAATAAAGTTACAATCTCCATAATACCAGTCATAAATGATTTTTAACTGCTTTTTAAATTTACTATTAAGTACATCACACTATGTAATATTTTGAATTTCTTTATTTTTCTGGTACTGGGTATTGAACCCAGGGGTTCTTAACCACTAAGCCACATTCCCAGCCCTTTTTATTTTTTGAGACAGGGACTTGCTAAGTTGCTGAGGCTGGCACTGAACTTTGATCCTCCTGTCTTAGCCTCCAGAGCTGCTAGGATTATAAGCATGCACCACTATGCCTGGCTTCATTTTAAACTTATGCTATAATAACTAAGATTCTTCCGTATATTTATTTGTTTTGACTGTTGCAAACTATTGAAGTTTATTTATCCACTCTCCACCAAAGGGAAGCTTTTCAGTTCTTTCCAGGTTTTTACTGAATGGTGTTTTAAGACTTTTCTTGTTCATATCTCATCATTCATATTAAAAACTTTCCGTGTCCACAAAGAAGGGTTATAGAGTAGGTTTTTCTTCTACTTTGGAAGGTTAATGACAAAACATAAAAAATTCTAACAGCAATGTGTAAAAGATTTTATGGATCTACAAGTCCAATATTTGCTATTACTTGGTCTTTTAAAATTTTACCAATGAAAATGACTATATTATTGTGGTCTTGTTTTCATTTTCCTGATAACCAATAATGTTGAACATCTTCTCTATGGTTAGGATATGGTTTGAGTGTGTTCAACAAAGGTCCATGTGCCAGAAGCGTGGTCCCCAGCATGATGATGATGAGAAGTGGTGGAAGCTTTAAGGGATGGGGCTTAATGGAAGGCGATCATGTCATTGGTCCCTTGGAAGTGATTAATGTAGTTCTCATGGAAACCTGGTTAGTTCCCATGAAAATGTTGTTATAAAAAGACTGTGTCTAGGGTTAGAAATGTGGCTTAGTAATAGAACATTTGCCTAGTATGTATGAAGCTCTGGGTTCAATCTTCAGAGCTATAAAATAAAATAAAACAAAATAAGTGAGCCTGGTTCCAGAATCTAACTTCCTGTCTCACCATGTGAACTCTTTCCCACATTCTCTGCCATTGTGATGCCATTCAACCCTGCGGACCTCACCAGAGATTTAACAGATGGGGTCGCCTGACCTTGGACTTTTAGCCTCCAGAACTATGAGCTAAATGAATCCCTTTTCTTTTCACATCCAGCCTCAAGTGTTTTGGTTTATTAATAGAACATGAGTACAATCTCTTTTTATGTTTATTGGCTAGTTGTGATTTTGTCTTGTATGAAAAAAATATAAATACCTTTATTACATGGTGCTAAGGATCAAACCCAGGGCCTGCTCATGCCAAGCACATGCTATACCACCACTGAGCTGTATCCCTAGCCCTGCAAAATACTTCATGATGCTTGTCTATTTTTCATTGTTTGTGGTCTTATTGATTTTTAAAAGTTCATCATATAATCTTGATATTTTTGTCATTTATGTATATTTTGAGCATCTCCTTCAAGATCCTAATTTGTCTTTTTACTTGTTTTAAGGTCTTTTAGTGAGTAAAAATTCTTAATTAAATTAATAAGCTGTATTATACTGTTTAGTTTTCTGTGAAGTTAATGATGTTCTTTTTGTAGATTTGCTAACTTTTGTAGGATTTGTCAGTAATTTAATCCAAGTCCTTCCCAAAGTGTGCACATTTCCTATTAAGATAATTAAATTAGGCATTCGATCAATTTCATCTTCCTGACAATTCCTTCCTGGAGCTCTGTGACCCATTTCTTCCTAGATGTATTCTCTAGGTCCTGTTGTTATGGGAAGACCTCTCTTATACCAGTTCTGCTTGGGTCCTAGGTCTTCCTCTTTTTGGGTTACTTCCTTGTTTGTAGTTTCCTGAGAAAGGAAGCAAGGAAGATATATTTTAACATTTTGTCTCCAAAGCTTGAATGGGCACATTATTGAAATGAAAAATAATTTTTCTTTAGAAATTTGAAGGCATTGTATTATTGTCTTATAGCTTCTACCATTATATTTTGAGAAATTTGGGTGCCATTCTGGGTTTTTTGTTTGTTTTTTGGTAGTGGGAATCGAACTCAGGGGAACTTTGCCACTGTAGAGGTACATCTCTAGCCCTTTTAAAATTTTTTATCCAGAGACCAGGTCTTGCTAAGTTATTAAGGCTGGCCACAAACTTGTGATCTTCCTATCTCAAGCTTCCCGAGTAGCTGGGGTTACAGGCTTGCACCACCACATCTGGCTGCCTTTCTGATTCTTGATCCTGTTTTGAAACTCATTTCCCAACCTCTCTGGATATCATAGGATTATCTCTTTGTCCCTAGTCATGATATGATATGATATTGTGTGGGTCTATTTCAGACTACTGTGCTGGCTGACATGCCTTTTACGTCTAAGATATTTTCTTAAATTACTTTTTTGTAGTTTCTCTTTTTCTATTTTCTGCTCCCCCCCCCCCCCCCCCCGGAATTCCTATGACTTAGTTATCAAATCTTCTGGAGAGGTCTACTTCTTTTTTTCCCCCTCTCCTATTTTATATATATATATGTTTTCTTAGCTTCTCTATCTATCTTCCACTTTATCTAAACTGCATTCATATTTGCTATCACAGAATACTAATGATGGTTCACATTTTGGGAAGTGCCTTTGTTTCTTCCAAGTGTGTTTGGGTCTCAGTCATATCAGAGGCTTTCTGTACCTTTCTGGTGTTCCTGGCTCTTTTGCTTAAACCAAAAATTGTCCACCAGAAAAGCTGATTAGGAACTCTGCACAATGCATGCAATCTTCACTGTAGGGCAATCTAGCTGAGTTCATTTTTTGGGGGATTCCCACTGTCAAGATCTTAGTTCAGTCTCTTGGGAAGTTCCTGATGTCAGTATCTTACTTCTTTCTATTTTTCTGCTAGGAGCATGTTGGTTTGACAGCTAGCAGTCTGGGAGCTGAGAGGGTCAGGGGCAGTGGCTGTGCAAAGTGGGAAAGGGATAAAAGAATAATTGCTTCATTAACACACTGTCAGAGAAGCCTTAACCTCATCTTCACCCTCACTTTCCAGAGGTACCTGGGTCTTGGGGGAATTTTGTAATGTAAATCAAGTTTCCCTTCAGCTTTCCTAGCCCTCTGCAGCCTACTGTCAGTACCTGTGTGCTTTCCAACCTCCACAATTTTGAAGTGTTATCCTCTTTCCTAGTCTCCATAAAGGTTAGCTTTTTAAAGGATTGTCATATCAATTCAACAAGCATATACTGAGCACTTATTATGTGGCAGGTTCACAGAATCATTACAACTTAATGCATTTGTGGGATTTTGACTGTTTTCAAATGCTGAACTGGAATCATAGTTATTTCTCAAGCCTCTGTTTTCTCCTTGTAACCACTGGGCTACTTTCTCCAGCTCCAATGTCCTTTATTTATTCTTTTTCTCCAGGGTACCATTAATTCTTTTCTCATCTTCTATCAACTGGGAATATCTTTTTCTTTCTTTTTTTAAATATTTATTTTTTAGTTGTAGTTGGACACAATACTTTTATTTGTTTTTATGTGGTGCTGAGGATTGAACCCAGGGCCTCGAGTTTGCTAGGCGAACACACTACCACTGAGCCACAACGCCAGCCCTCATCTTTTTCTTTTAGATTTAAGCACATAACCTATTTCTGAATTGTGCCTTCCTTCTACTTAAAAATGCCTCCTTCACCAATTCGCAATAGACAGAGAGGACTTTAAACTCCAGCTAGTAAGAAAAATTTCTGCCAATTGTATTCAAGCTGAAAATGGAGCATCCTCCCCAGTCTGACTGGGCAGTGCCATGATTCTTCCTATGTCACAGACCTGGCAAGAGTGATTCAGAGCTATTACATATTAAAATGATTATTATTTACTAGACTCCACTACATAGCAGACAGGGATTTTCACACCTGTTAGGCAGCATTGCTTTCTGGAGACACAGTATCTGTATTCCAATCCCTCTAGTGATCAGCTGTATGACCCTGGATGAAATATTTCTTTATGCTGTTTCCTCTTTTGTAAAACAAGTAAGATAATAGTATGGATCTCAAATGACAGCTTTTTCATCTCTAAATGAAGATAATAGTGGTAAGTTCTTCAAAAGACCATTTTGAAGATCATATGACTTATGTCAGGGCCTCAGTTAATCCCTGGGGCACAATGGGCATCATATATTTTCTATCTTCATGATTATATTATCATTATTTTATCATCATGCCATTCAACAGATGAGGAAAGAAAAGTTCAAAGAAATTAACTGACTCTGTCCATGACTAGACAGTAAGTGAACAGCAGAATTAGAAGGTAAATTCAGGCAATTCTGATAACACCTTTTTCACAGTATCAGTATAGTACATGTCCTTTTAACAATGCAGTTTTTTAGTCCTAATGATTAAATTTTTATTATTTACCAATTATTCATGGATAACATGGAATTTAAGTTGAATAAAACACACTTAGTTGGCAATAGGGTTTCACAAGTGGATGAGAAGAGACAGTGAGGAGGCTGCCCATGCATGGGGCAGTCTAATATGGGTCTCAACCTGGGCGGGATGAAGAGGGTATCCATGTGGGGTGAGGGGAGGAAGGAGCAGCTGCAGTAGAGCCCAAGGAGGATAACGAGGACATTTGTGCAGGGAAGTGGACAGCAGTAGTGAAAAATATTTGTTACCTACAGGAACCTTCATTAATTAAGGAAATACATGAAAGATAATGGGAGACGAGTTTTTCATTGTCAGAGTAGCGAGTTACAAATACAGAAAGAATGAAAATGAAAATCAACTCTGTGGTATTGAATTGGAATTGAGGGTATTTATTGGTTAAAGAAATGAACATAGTAGTTTGCAAAATTCCCACAAAGAACGCTCCGAGCTCAGGTGGCTTTAGGGTAAATTTTCCGGAACATCTAAGGAAGAAATAATAAAAATTCCATTCAATCCTGCCAAGAAATAGAGGAGAAAATACTTCCCAACTAATTGTCTGTGGCCAACATTACTACGGTACCAAAAATCATACAAAGATATTACAACAAAAAATAACTAAAAACCAATATTCCCCATGAACATTTATGCAAAATTCTAAACAAAGTACCTTATCAAATCTAACAAGATGTTAAGAAGATATCATCATGCAAGTGGGTCTTATCCCAGGAGGGCATAGTCAGCTTAGCATTAGAAAATTAGCCAATGGAATTCATTATGCTAACAAACTGAAAGACAAAAACTTAGAATCATCTCAATTGAGGTAGAAAAGGCATTTGACCAAACCCAGCAGAGATTCTTCTCCACCCCATCAGGGACAACCTCCATTGAAAATCATGTTTCAGAGGGAAGAACATGGACAACTCTCTATTCTATTCTTGAAGGTATTAAAAACTGGGTCTCCACTGTCATTCTTGCTACCTGCTGCTCTAGCCTATATTCTAACTTGATGACCTCTTACTAATCACTTAACTTCGTGTTTCCCAAATTCTGTTCCTTGGAACACTAGCATTCCTTGAAACAAAAGCTGTACTTGGAACCTCAAGATGAACAAAACCTGAAGAGTTCTAACTCCTCCACAGGGAAGAAAACATATCCAAGATCTTTTTCTTTCATGGTAATTTCAACCATTGCTGTCATTGCTGTTCCATCAGGGCAAATTATTCTATACTTGCTGCTAAAAGCATTTTATTTTGACTCACCTGTCCATTCTCGCTTATATATTATAAAATAAGTTATGGGAGCTGAAAAATATCACGGTGAGAGCAGTCTGGAAAAACATTGTGGAAAGGTAGATGTCTCTGGATCTAGCCTGCGCCAGTTTAATCTTTAGACACCAGTTGTACATGAGACTCCTCTGCCTGAATAACTTCTTACCCCCACCATGGAAACTGGCAACTTTTCCTAGATATAATTCCAATTTTTTGATTTCAATATCTTCTATATTCATAAAAGAATCAAAAGCCTTTACCCCAGAAATATTGTCAAGAAATATTTTAAAACCACAAAAGACATCAGTCAAAAAGACACTTTAGGCAGTTCTGTAGAAACACTTTAAGGGTCTTCTCTCTCTATCCAACCAATAGAAAGTCATGCAGCTAAAAGAAAATTTCTTCTGGTGTTTGCTAACACAGTATTTCTTTCTATAAGCATGGAAAACATTAAAGAGAATTGTGTCCTGTGAGAGGTGAGTCTATAAAGAAGCTGGGCACAGGGTCATAAAACTACCACAGAAAAACAAAATTAAAGGGAAATCTAGCAGAGCGTGCTCCTTTTGTGTGTTCAGGGCATAAGAGACTTGTGCTTTGTGCAAAGACCTGCACATCTGGGAAGCAAATAGTTTAAATAAGGTAGTAATATATATAAGAGCACCTTTTGAAAATTACAATCCCCAAGGAAAATAAATCATAAGAATCTTCTCACTGCAAAAAAAGAACACATTTGTTAGAACAAAGGCATAAAATGAATAGTGGTGTGGGTAATATGTTGAATTCACAAAAAGTAGTCTTCTTTTCCAGCCTGATTCTGCCTAAGAAAAATTTCAATTAAAGTACCTTTTCCTCAACACTTGAAATAGTTGTTGGATGACTTGTAAAGTATTCATGTTAACTGCATTAGGCCAGTGGTCATTTGGTGTACACAGGAACAAGACTTCAGCTAACTCAGAATAGTGTGATAAACATTTTGATTATTCCTGTGAAGCTTTTGAACAAAGCCCCCCAAAACAGGAAGATACTGAAATTAACTTATGGCCATAAGGCCAAAATGTGCACAGCAACTTAACTTATAGCAAAATCAGGCCATGCTTTGAAGCACATACAGGTCTATCAGAAATAATCATCTCAATTCTCAGCATATTATCTATTTTGTCTTCCATGTCCAAAGGAGATCAAATGGCCCAGATTTTAATTTAAATAGGCCTCACAAATACACTAATATTCCCCATTCTTAGGACATGTACAAAGGAGTAAGGCAGTAAAAACAAACAAACAAACAAAAAACAAAACTGAGGAGAAAACATAGAATTATATTGATTCATTCAAATTATTATTTTCTCTTTCAGGAAAGCAGCTTTCAAAACAGAACAAGTATTAAGCTAAACTAAATCACCTTTGCCACCTGCTTAAGATTAAGGAACAGTTAAAGTTCTGGCTATCTGAGAAATTTTACTTATTTGTACAAATAATTTTACTCCAAAGTATCAAAGCAATGGGACTTCACATCTGGCTAGCATTGCAATGACCCCTGGGAAGTACATAAAATAAATGGAAGATACAGTTTCTGCCCTCTATGGACTTTTCATGCTGTGTTAGAATTCTAGAAATGAAATCAGAGATGGTTTAAAACTAAATATAGATTTTCTTAATGAAATGTACTTGTAGACATTAATCTTAAGCAATGGTACAACTGTCGATACTCTACTTTTTATTTATCGGCATGAAAATGGCCATCTCTGTGTCAGACAGCACCTGCTACCTTAGAATAGACAAAAAAACCATTAGATTACTACCTTCTTCTCTTTTTCCTATGAGTGGCAGTTAAAAGGAATATTTACTCTTAGAGCTATTCATAGACTGTGCATGTTATTGCTTTCTTGTATGTAACACTTCATATAAAAACACCTTTAAAAACTTACAAGGGTTAGTATGCTAAGCATTACGTACATACATGTATTACACACACATACATAATCATAGTCTAATAGGCTTGTGAGAAAAAAAGAACAGTGATTCTATATTAGACTTATTATCTTCTGTTGAATACATATTAAGTGTTCAAATGTACTTAAAAATTAAAGAGGGTTTCAAAGTGCATCAAAAGTGCTATACTGTGTCATGAGTATTTGAGAGTTTCAAAGATTTATGGGTTTTTGGCTGGTGATGGAATTGCATGTATGTATCCTTATTCTCTCTCCTCTCTTTGTTTCTCTCTCTCAATTGATACAACTTGCTGATGTTAATGATGCAGAAGCAGTACTTGAGACAAAGGGGCATGTTCCTGTCCTTACAGCTGCAACAGAGCAGCAACTCTACTTTGACCTTATACCTAATAGCCTGTCTTTAACTTTCCTGCTTCCACTAGCATTGTTGATTCTAATTTTAGAAAAAGTCTGCTTCTCTGAAATAAAAATAAACAAACCTTAACTAACTCAGCCACATCCACCTATAATTTATTTGACTTAAGCTTTAATCAACCTACTTTTCCTCCATGTCCCTGAATTAGTTGGGTACTAGGTTATTGTGTCATCAAATTATCTCCCTTCCGTCTGCCCTGGATGAAAACCTATAACATTTAATTACTGAAAATACAATATCCTTAAAGTCTCTTTTGGTCATGATCCTAATACAAATCTTGGTCAACAGACAGACAATATCAAGCTATAACATATAATACCAGCAAAAAACTGGATTGGGGCTGGGTTGTGGCTCTGCGGTAGAGCACTCGTCTAGCACCTTCGAGGCCCTGGATTTAATCCTCAGCACCACTTAAAAATACATGAAATAAAGGTATTGTGTCCAACTAAAAAATAAATATTAAAAAAATCTTGAGTTAAAAAGCCATGCAGTTTTCAACTAAACTTTCTCTCTGAAGATTTTCCCTGAAGAATATCATGAGATCCTAGGTTACAGCTGTGTGCCTTCCTTTACACTCCTCAGGGATCATTATGATCAAAGAAAGAGAAGACCAAAGTAAGAACAGGATCTAGAGCTTACATATTATTAACATATTAGTGTATGGTTTTTGTTTGTTTATTTTGGTACTAGTTATTGAGCCTGTGGGTGCTTTACTACCAAGTTACCTCCCCATTTTATTTTATTTTGAAATAGGGTCTCACTAAGTTGCCCAGCTGGCCTTGAACTTGAAATCTTCCTGCCTCAGCCACCTGATCTGCTGGCCCCACCACATCTGGCCAGTATAGATGGTTTTAATTGAACACTTAACCACAAATTAAGTAAAAGTTTTAAAATTAGTGAAATACTTATGGTAAGAGGCTTACTTGTTAATTCATGAAAGTCAAGATCATACCTATTCAGATAATTGCAGCCATCTAGTAGCTCCAATTGTAATTTTAACCATCTAGTAGCTTCAATTGTAATTTTATTTGCTTTAATTTACCTATCTCAAGATACATATAACAAAGTCATTATTTTATTGAGTTACACTATTAGTTTTAAATTTTTATAAGCCAGCATATAGTTATTTGCATAATGCTAAGTTCTGAAAAAGGGTATCAAGCATGTAAATTCACTATGTATGAGTAAACAATTGTTGCTATGCTTAAAATCACACTTTCCTCAGTTTCTGGACAGCTAGGGATTGCTTACATAAATAAATAATAAGCTGTGTATACACAGAAAATAAAATTTTAAATACTTATCTATGTGTCAAATAGTGTTCCTTAGATAAGGCAAATGGACAATTTTCACTCAATGCACATAATACCCCCTCTCTAGATGTTAATGCTGTATTTGATTATAACTCAAAGTAGGAAATCTAAAATAATTGCCCAAAGCATAACAAAAGTCATCCAGGTAGACTACAGTTTCACAAAAACTAAGTGCTTAAGAAGCTCTCAGTATCTGAAATTGGAATAGAAGTCTTAGATATAATACTTTTGATATCAGGAAAAAGTATTAATAAATAACAACAACAAAAAAAATACAGTCATCTCTTTTATATGTGTGGTCCTTGATGTCTTGTTGCCTTTGGTGATGGAATCCTCTTTTTTGTGTTTGCGATCCTGCTCAGGCTCATACTCCAAGAAGTCTCTGCTCATCAAGTGAATAAAGAGGATGAGGAAGTTGGACAGCCAAAAACATCCCACCAAGAGCAGGATCGGATTGCAAAGGAGGAAAAGCCATAACTGTGTTCTCCTGCAAGCACGAATTGACAGCTTTGTCCAAATCAGTAGTTCTCATATCATGTCATCGCACCTGGGGAGTAAAACAACTCCTAATGCCTATGTACTAGCCCTAGAAATAGTGATTTAATGTTCTGGGATTTGGAATTTTAGAGATAGCCAGATGATTCTAATGTGTAGAAAAGTTTGGGAACAACTGGCTTATATTCTTTCATATTTTTGCCAACATGGGTTCAAATCAACTTTAGCATGTTTCCAAATCAGTCTCATGCCATTATAAAAAGACTAAGGAAGGACTATTTGTTCTGGAATATTCCCATAACTGAAAATCCATGGAGGTAAACCAAGATTCTAAGCAAAACTACAATGTAACTGAATTATTCATCATTGTCAAAAGGAGAATGAAAAGTAGGAACAAAGGCATGAATAAGCTGAGTTTTATTATGTATCTTCAAGACAATAATTAGTATGCATTCTTTTCAAAGCCATGCCATCCAAAAACCAGACTGAAGAATTAGAGAAGAACATAGCCTACACAATCTGTGCTTAAGTAATGATCTGGATTTGTATCACCTAGTCCAGCTTTTGACTTCACTAGATGCAGTAGGGGCAGTTGTTGGAGGAAGGAATAAGAATTGGGCGCTACACATAAACTTCATTAATGTTCTTGTTGGAAGGAATCAAAATGACCCAGAGGCAGCCAAGTTGAATTACAGGTTTGATGTACATATGAGATACAAGTCAATCGGACATCAGCATTATTTTACACCAGTCTCAAGGCTCAACATGGAGACCTGGCAATCCTTTTTTTCACAGTAAGATCCAGATGTGTTGCCTTGTGCCGCCTCCTCTTGCAAAGGATGTAAGCTTTCCAGATTGAAGAAGAAAATAGTTTTAAAAGTTAAGTGTCAGTTTATCCAAAGCAAATAATGAGAATACTAGATACCTTTGTCCCTTAAAAAAGGAGAAACGAAAAAATATGCCCCACCTACAATAGGGAGCAGATTGAAACTGTGGAAAACATACCTTTTCATGTCAGGGATTCACAATAAGAACATGTAACTTCACTCTGATACACAGAGTTAGTGTGTTTAAGCACTCGATATAATGTTCATTTGAAATTATAATGACCTGATCATAATGAAGATATATGGATGTCAACAGCCAAGCTTTTCCACTTCATGACACAATACAATCTGATGTCAGTTGAAAACTCTACCAATGGTTTTACTTGCCTACATGGGGTAAATATATCTAAGAAGATTGTAGTGTGAGTGAACTATAGCCAGGGGACTAAAAAGAAATAGTGGAAAGCAGCATTTCTGCTTCACTTTCAAAGGTTTCTGTGGTTTAATGAAATAGAATGGGTTCTACACATCAGTACAACTAATTCTCAAAATGTTCCAAGTCCTACTGAAATCCGACAGCAAATCACCAAACACAGAGACTTAACAGTAGCTATGTTCTTGATTATTTTCAACTCATCCAGAAAGATGTGCTC